TCTCTCATCATGCATGGATTAACACATCACGAAAGGTGGGTGATTTGTTTGTTCTCATTTGCTGAATTCATCATGCTAATCTCACTTAAAAATTTCAGGAGGGTGGCTTGGGCGGTCTTACATATCCACTGCTTGCTGATTTTAAAAAGGAAATTTCTCGGGATTACGGAATTTTATTAGAATCCTCCGGTTTATCTCTTCGAGGACTGTTTATTATCGATCCAAAGGGTGTTATACGTCACATAACCATCAATGATTTGCCAGTTGGCCGGAGTGTCGAGGAGGTCCTACGTCTCGTTAAGGCATTTCAATTCGTGGATAAACATGGGGAAGGTATGAATTAATTATATTTGCAGATTATATTAATTTTTAACATGTGTGATGCGGATTTTTACCTGAAATACTTATTTATGATACATAGTTAATGATGTGTGCAGCAGTGCTTTATATTTATATCCATCCTCTGATCACTCAGCCTGGATCGTGCTCTACTTTTTCCATATTATCAATTTTTTATTGTTTCCTAGACCTTCCGGATACAATTTTTGTCTTCATTATTGTATTATTAAGCTTCTAACTATAATTAGACAAGTGGGTATCTCCATTAATTCCGATTGTCTACTAAGTAGTTTAGTTCATTCGAATGACTTATGTACTCAAAAATGCATATATTTAGCCTATCCTTGAGCTGGGATCTTCATTAATTGTTTTTTATCTCTTACCTTTGAAATGTGAATATATTGATACAGCAGAAAAGTATCGACTGTCATTTATTTAAAAATTATCTAAGTTCATTCTGCACTTTAATTAACTTCATTATTTTAAATTTTCAAATTGACAGTATGTCCTGCTGATTGGAAGCAAAACTCACCTTCTATCAAGCCGACTTTAGAAGGGGCAAAAGACTACTTCTCCAAACTCAAATAGATCTAGCCTGGCTTGTAACCAGGCTTCTTGGCTATTTTTAATTTTGTATTTTTTCTAAAGGTCTTGTCTTGCTTTTATTTCGAAATACCGCATTTTAATATTGAAAAATCTGAACTTTATGCCTTCATTGACTTAAAATTCGCATATACCCTCTACTCTGTTCTGCAAAAATGGGAAGAACCTTGATATACTGGGTCCTACTATCGAGACTTTATTTATTACTGCACCCCCTCTACGCTTGCATCCTGTGTTTTTCCTCATTAAGGGCAATCATACGAATAAAATCAAAATAGATATTTTTTTGTATTTTATATTCATATTTCTTGATCGCATGCAGGAATCCCACCTAGATCTCTTATACATATTTAGGCTAGAATGGCTGAGCCTTTATAGGGTATATCTAACCGGACTTATCGTTTTGTATCAATGTTTCAAGATTTATTAGTATCAAAGGTATTAGCCCTTGAATTATAGTTATAAGTCTCGAATGGGCATACTAGTGCTGAAATGAACCTTCAGACGGCGCAAAATGATGGCCAGGTCGCTTTCCCAAATGGGCGTGATCTTTATTTTCCCCAATATTTTCCGGGCTCTAGAGAGTGAAAAGTAATCCGTACTTGATATTCTCCCATTAATTTGTCTGTAGGATAATTTCCTAAATGAGAACTTTGCTTACTCCTTTTAAGGTGGTAAGGATAAGGATAGTAGGGGCTTAATCATCATGAATGAATAGGTCTCAAGCTGCCAGCACCTGTCTTCGAAGGATTTACCAATCCGAGGTAGACTTTGCCTCTGTCCCATAAGACCCCAAACGGCATTTCAAAATGATTTGCATATATCGTGGTGTCCTGCTATCACTCAACCAGTCTAGAATGCTAGAAAGTCACGGTGCGGATACATCCATCAAAGCAGACTAGGCTTTTCTCGAGTTACGTCTACGATATGGTTGTGGGCGACAAAAATTTGTACTCGTGGTTGCTTATTTTCTACGCCAATGGCTCCGAAGCTATGCATACGTCGCTTTATATGATTTGAGGTAAATTTAGGGTGTGCTCGTAGGAAATATTTTCCCAAATAGCCATTGGAATTGTTTCTATTTACTCGAGAATTTTGAAGCTTTATTTTGAACAATCTGTGTAGATGGGTCTCCTACACTGTAGCTGCTTTGACTGAATAGAGTTCAAAAACTCAGCCGCCATGCCTCAGGACAGTTAAAATCTACTTTTAAGTTAATTACTACTTGCGGGTAGCATGTTTTACGGTACAATAATTCGTGGGCACTAATTGGTCACAACTAATGACCACGATAGGCTGCTTTAGCTCTATTATATAGGCCACTTACGACCACTTCTCGTCAGGCCCTGACTTTGTAGAGAGCTTTCCCTTTGACTTGCATTTTATGCTGTCGAATCATTGTTTGTATAACCAAGTTGTGTTCCTGAAGGTCCCGGCTCTACTGTTCAATCTTCCAATCTAAGGTGAGCCGTATATTGCACCCACTATTTCATTAAAATACAGGAAACTCATCTCTATGAATTATACGAAAAATTCGATCAGACCTTTATCTCCCGTTTGGCTTACTCTTTTTCAGTGACCTGGTGATAGAACAGTTTATTTGGTCTACTTGACTGCTAGCTTAAGCTCCCCAAATTTCGGTAGAATCAAGGCAGAAATTCAAAGGACATCTCATTTTCTTTTATGCCACAGATTTTAAAAATGATTTTGCTTCCCGACACCATGAAGTACGTAGCTGAGAGGATTTTGCGCTCACACGAGAAATCAGATAAATTGCAACCTATTAGCGAAGTTATGCCTTCTTATTAAACTATGGGCGCCTTATCAGACATGGTTTGAAGCGAACTAGCAGCCTACTTGATCTATTGCTCTTCTATATAGTTGTGCTAATCCTTCCGTGATTGATCACAATGGAACTTATCATTATTGCGATTGTGGTATATCTTATCGACTACTAGCCCTTGGAATGGAGCACAGCTGTAAGTCAGTTCGAGTCTAGATCCCTAAGAGCTCTTAAATGGACTTAACTAGTAGAATATAAACTTCCAGAATGTATTATAGATGGCTCTTTTATCTTCCTTCGGATGCAATTGCCTCATTGGGAACTGTTATGAATATGAGAAGAGCACAAGTCTAGAACTAGTTTTCGATGACAGATATAGCAGGCTTGGGTGCTGACACATGCCTTATGAGTGACCGATGAACCTTTGAGGAATGCAGGCTGAAGTTTTTTCGAAAACTTAGATTATATTAAGTGGTATGTAAATTTCTCTTGCTTCAAGATATTCTTAGCCCCATTAATGAATGGTATTTTGGGACAGAGTGCATGATCTGTCCGTCTTTTGGTTTAAAGAAAACCCTGTCAATACAGATCCTCATATATTCCATGAGTCCGATGTGCTTAAACTACTTTTGCCCTTTGGCTAAAGGGCATTCGAAACAAACATGTGGCCACTTTGTACTTTAACAAAATGGTTACTTTATATGGCATTTTTCTCACCAAGGATGCATATATTTGAATTTGCTTGCCTTGTGACTCAACGGATAAGTGTCTCATCTTCCGCCTTCTGTTTTATATGATCATCATTTATAGAATATTGGTTTTCTCTCTTACCAGCGATGGGTATATATTAAAGCTGTCAATGATTCAGCTAATTAGGTATATATGTGTATATAAAAGGCACGGGTTGAGGTCTTTATGGATGATGAAACTCACTGGAACTTTCTAATAGCCAAGGCGACGCTGCCCTTCAAATTCATTAAGTGAGAGTGCTAGTATATCATGTTACTGTGGGAGTTCTCAAATCTATATACGAGGTCTTTAAAGTTATGAAGGACTGTTAGTTGGATTTTTTCATAATGCTTACGTTTCCATTGAAATCCATATAGCCATGCTTCACAAAATGTATTCTCATCCAGACTGGACCGCAGTTTCGAAATCGCCTAGGTCTCATCATCACCCCTAGCAAAACTCGAATCATGACAGCGTAGCGTATTATCTCAACACCTTAACCACTACGCCACACTGGCACGAGTGCCCTTGTATCACGTGGCAGATGTGAATTTCAAGGAAAGCCAGGCATTTTCCTACAGCACATTCTGTGGTGGAATTGTCGACGAGACTAAGCTGTATTTGCTATAGAAATCGATTACATTACTTATTTTTAGTTTATAATTAATTAGGTTTTCGAGACTACCAGTAGCTCATATATATGAAATTTATTCAAAGTATTTCGTTTAAGGTTATGATGAACGTAAGATCTATTCATATCATCGTGAGAAAATTCAGTGTACAGTCTCCTTACCACCTTAAACAAAATAAGGTGAGTACACTTCGTATATATGATCTACTGGCTGTCTCGAAAACTTGATTATAAACGAAAAATAAGAAATCTAGTCGGTGTTTATAGCAAATACAACTTTACTTCATCGACAATCTCATGGGGAAATGCCTGGCCCCTTAAGCTAAGGGACTCGCGAAAATGTGGCGTAGTGGCTAACGTGTCGAGAATATACGATACCCTATCACGGTTCAAGTCCCGCTGGGGGTGCTGATGCGCCCTAGGAGAAGTCGAAACGGCATTCAACCCTGGATGCAAATACCTTTTGGGAAGAAGGACTATGTAAAACTTAAGGCTCCATATGATTATGGTAAAATCCAACTTAGTCCTTCATAACCTTAAACGATATAGGGTGAATACATCTCATATATGATCTGATGCTAGTCTTGAAAACCTTCTTAAAAATGAAAAACATGATTTAAACTCTGTTTCACTGGAAATGTCTGCATGGAGTTTACCTCATCTTAAAACCATCATGGGAATTTCGGCTT